AGATCTAAATGCTAAAGTTGGAGTGGACAACACAGGATATGAAGATATAATCGGACGACAAGGATTAGGAGAGTGAAATGAAAATGGGGAGAGACTTGCAAACCTATGTGCATTCAACAAATTGGTTATAGGCGGCACAATATTCCCACACAAGCGCATATACAAAGCTACATGGATCTCACCGGACCATACCACAGAGAACCAGATAGATCACATCTGTATCAACAAAAAATTCCGAAGATCAATGGAAGATGTGAGAACCCAGAGAGGAGCTGACATAGATTCAGATCACCACCTGGTTGTGGCCAAGATGAGACTGAAGCTAAAGAAAGACTGGACAACTGGACAAACAGCACTACAAAGGTTTAATACAGCCTTCCTTTGAGATGCTGACAAGCTCCAAGAATTCAAGATAACTCTCAACAATAGGTTCCAAGCTCTACAGGACCTACTGAAAGAACAAGAAACTACTTTGGAGGACAACTGGAAAGGGATAAAAGAAGCCCTAACTTCAACGTGTCAGGAGGTTTTTGGTCCTAAGAAGCATCATCACAAGGAATGGATCTCTATGGGAACCCTGGACAAAATTCAAGAAAGAAAGAACAAGAAACTAGCAATTAACAACAGCCGAACACGGGCAGATAAAGTCAAAACACAAGCAGACTACGCAGAAGCAAACAAGCAAGTGAAGAAAAGCATTAAAGTCGACAAGCAGAAATACATGGGAGAACTAGCAACGGCGGCGGAAAAAGCTGCAAGAGAAGAGAATATGAAACAACTATATGATACAACGAAAAAATTGGCAGGGAGATATAGCAAACCAGAGAGACCAGTCAAGGACAAAGAAGGAAAGACAATCACTGAGATTCAAGAACAGAAGAAAAGATGGGCAGAATACTTCGAGGAACTGCTGAATAGACCAGCCCCATTGAATCCACCGAACATCGAAGCAGCCCACACAGACCTTCCTATAGATGTCACTCCACCAACGATCGAAGAAGTCAAGATGGCCATCAGACAAATCAAAAGCGGGAAGGCGGCAGGACCTGACAATATACCAGCAGAAGCACTGAAGTCAGACATTGAAATAACTGCAAACATGCTTCACCTTCTATTCAAAAAGATTTGGGAAGAGGAACAAGTGCCAACGGACTGGAAAGAAGGATATCTCATCAAGATACCAAAGAAAGGAGATCTGAGCAAATGTGAGAACTACAGAGGCATCAGTTTGTTATCAGTACCAGGAAAAGTTTTCAACAGAGTGCTGCTGAATCGGATGAAAGACGCAGTAGACGCCGAACTAAGGGATCATCAGGCTGGATTCCGTAAGGATCGGTCGTGCACAGACCAGATTGCGACACTACGGATCATCGTTGAACAATCAGTTGAGTGGAACTCATCACTATACGTCAACTTCATTGACTATGAGAAGGCGTTTGACAGCGTGGACAGGAGAACATTATGGAAACTTCTTCGACACTATGGAGTTCCTCAGAAGATCGTCAACATTATCCAAAACTCATACGATGGATTACAGTGCAAAGTGGTGCATGGAGGACAGCTGACAGGTGCATTTCCAGTAAGGACCGGAGTCAGACAAGGCTGTCTACTCTCCCCATTCGTCTTCCTTCTAGTGATTGACTGGATTATGAAGAATTCGACATCTGACGGGAAATACGGAATACAATGGACTTCTCAGAATCAATTAGATGATTTGGACCTCGCAGATGACCTAGCCCTCCTCTCTCATACACACGACCAAATGTAGATGAAGACAGCAAATGTAGCAGCAGCCTCCGCATCGATAGGTCTCCACATTCACAAAGGAAAAAGCAAGATTCTCAAATGCAACACGGAGAACACCAACCCAATCACATTTGACGGCGAAACTCTGGAAGAGGTGGAAACATTCAAGTACCTGGGGAGCATCGTTGATAAACAAGGAGGATCGGATGCAGATGTAAAGGCGAGGATTAGCAAAGCAAGGGCAGCATTTCTACAATTGAAGAACATATGGAACTCAAAACAACTCTCAACTAATTTCAAGGTCAGAATCTTCAATACGAACGTCAAGACAGTCCTATTGTATGGAGCTGAAACGTGGAGAACTACTACGGCCATCATCAGGAAGGTACAAGTATTTATAAACAGTTGCCTACGCAAAATACTCAACATCCACTGGCCGGATACTATCAGCAACAGCGTTTTATGGGAGAGGACAAACCAGCTTCCAGCTGAAGAGGAAATTAGGAAAAGACGTTGGAGGTGGATCGGACATACATTAAGGAAATCACCAATGTGCATCACGACTCAATCCCTAACTTGGAATCCGGAAGGGAAGCGGAAAAGAGGAAGGCCAAAGAACACACTACGCCGGGAAATAGAAGCCGATATGAAAAGGCTGAATAGTAACTGGAAAGAACTGGAAAGGAAGGCTCAGGACAGAGTTGGATGGAGAATGCTGGTGAGCGGCCTATGCTCCTCCACAAGGGGTAACAGGCGTAAGTAAGTAAGTAAGTTTTCTAACCTCATCCCTCCTTGTGGGAAGGCAGCATCGCTGTCATGCTGGTTGTCTGAAGGAAGCACCTTTCTGCCGTCGCACCTCTGTACAGTCAGCAGTACGACTTCGCCTTCGGACTTTGGGTTTGCTGCTTTTAGTCTCACCGCTCTTCAACCGACCTGTCTGGCATGGTAGGATCTCGAGAAACGATTGTTCCAGCCAGTATAGCTCGATTGGTTCATCACGATAGGCAAGCCCGACCACCACGTCAAGGTAGCAGCAACGGTCAGGTAAGGAATTATATGGTTAGAGGCTAATCGAAGATAAAGTGAAAATACAATAACAAGTGAGGATAACCACCTAAAACGACAATCACTTACATATAAGGTCTTTAGAACAGACTGCTGATCACATCTAGGATAGTAACAAAGCTCGCTTTTAAATCAAGAAGGTATGGTAATATAACGAGATGGATTATAATACGACACTGGGAGCGGATCGACAATAGAAACATATGAAACAACTATGACTACTACCCTCCCCTTACCAGAACTTCGTACCTTAATGAGTCTTATGAATAAGAACGTGACTTTCAAGACTAATAGGTAGGAAATGCAGTATTGTTTCCACACCTAAAACGCTTAACATTTTAACCCAAACTAGTATTTCAATGGACCAACAATAACTGCCAAAATACGTTGGCTTTTGGAATATTTATTTACTGCTTAAATTCGATCTAATATCGAACCAAGAAAAATAGAATGTACGCAAAACTCCGCAGGCTACAATGGTCAAGGCCAGTAGCATGGGCAGATAGAAATGCGCTTCCTTTTGATATGTGAAGGGTTTGGATTGAACAGACATATTCTCCGAACAAATGAAACTGTAAATAAAGAAGCACAAACAAACGTAAATAGCTCACAACAAACAGAAAGAATTAAAAACTGAGTGAGGTTTGGGTAGATTTAAACCGACTCACTACCAGAGTAATTCTGTAAATCTACCTTGAAATCAGAAATCGGGTCATCTGACCATATGGTTAGGGTTAAAGATTCATATGAAAATTCCACATGAATCTCAAGACCTCAAGAAAAGGAAAACAGAAAAAATGATGAAAAGTTCCGACAAACACCTTCAGTAATCCCGATGATATTTTCATCAAAATTGGATGAGAAGATGAAAACCAATGACCTTAGCTCTTTGGAATAAAGTTATTGAGCATGGTAATATCTTCACAACATAATTTAACAAGAGCCAGAATCTTTTAGAAAGTTGACGATTTAAAAAGATACAGAGAGCAATAGTCACTGATTACTAATTGTAAAATTCATTCGTTTATTCTTACAAGGAAATAATGAACAGCAGAGCATATAAATAACTACAATCATTTTGATACACTTGAATAGATTACCATATTTTAAGTCCTGAAAAACAGTTCAGGTAATGATAGTATATATCTACCACTTTTACTGTCCCAAACTAGTAGTCAGGCTTTCCCAAAATCACTACACTTTTCATCTTTCTGGAGATTTGGAGTACGTAATAGCTATGAAGATCTACTAACCAAAGTTTCCAACCTTCAGTTTATAGAAGACATCCTCTGGTATTGGGTAGTGCTACACAGGAACTTAGTAACCGACCACCATTCGTATGTAGTGTGCTCCTAGTGTCATAGAAATGAAGAGAGCTCCATGACTCACTAAACTCGATTATCGCTGGTTTTGGAAAGCCGCCACTAATTTGTGGTAATTGTGTTCATGAAAATACTAAAATGAACGTGTTTGAGGATAGTGAAAAGCAGTAAATTAAATTTTATCACCTCAAGACACTAAATTTAATGACTTTGACAAGTATTAAGCATGAAGTCAAGGTCGCTTCCACAGTGAGAACCGATTTCTGCTAATAAGACAGGGTAGTATAAGAGACGACAAAGTTAGTTTACAATACATTGCATCCACCCTTGCCTATGAATAAAAAACTTAGGATTGTTAGCCCACATGTTCGCATGCTCTTCCTTAAAACTGATTTCAGTTTTGTAAGTGAAATTCAACCAGCATATCTATTCTGTTTTGGAAAGCGTTGATATGGAAGCCAACTTAAGTCGAAAATACCTTATGAATGCCTGGGATACCAAAGCACACATCGACAAAAACGCAAATGCGTATTTCCTAGGTAGTGAACATATATATTGTGACAATTGGAAATGCTACAGTTACTAAAGGTTACTTGAGTTCTGGACTCACCTAATAACTGAGTTAGGCAATCGCACCAATGAGTTGTGATTTTACAACCACCAGTATGACAAAGTAAACTGGATAAAAATACACTGAATGACAACTATAGACCCGAAACAATTTTGTGTGTAAGCAATAACAACTCTAGACAATCTATGAGATTTACATTTTGTATAGTTCTATAAGCTTGTATAGTTCTATAAGCTTTTATCCTGACGTCAAACTACTTAATATCATGAACATTCATATAGATCTCTATCACCCACCTGATTTATTGACGGATGGACGCCTGTTAACATGTCCGTAACTGACTTGAGCATGCGAATCCATGAGAGTTGCGACAAAAGTGGCATCATTTCCATAGTTTCTATTATGTTGAGGTCCTCTGGAAAAAAAAGTAAAATCTTTTAATAGTTTACTTATCTTGAGTAATAAATATAGCCATCATTTGATACAAACGACTTACATGCTAAAATGTCATTTTACTTAAACTAAATATCAGCACATGTAACTCGTCATATAAGTATGGGCACTCAATTTCGAACAAGACTATATGAGGATCACTGATACTGAGTGGCTGCTTAAACTAACGTATGCAATAAGGGGCTTTTACCTAAGACCTAATGGTAGAACACCGACTATCTGAACCAATACCCCCAAATGTTCTGGTGCGCCCGAGGGTAAGGAGAGTCCACTCTCCCTCTCAAAATGCTCTCACATGGCCACGCGTATACAGCCACTGTCAGGGAAGCCCTAGTCACTGCCTTCTCGAGGCATTACTGTTGTATATATGCATGTCTATATCTCTAATCTTATTGGTTGTCTATTTATTCACCATATTTTATGCAGCTTTTTAAATAGACGAAGAATTACCCCAATTATAGTTGTCTGGTGTGCCAATTGTATGCTGCAATTGCTTAGTCTTTGCTTGCATGAAATAAACTTATTCTTATCCATTTTGTATTTTGCCTTTTTGAGTTGACGTAATAACGTGATGTGCCAATGGTTATTTATGAAATTACACATAGGGTACACGAGCAACCTTAAATGACAATGGTTATTATTATTATTTGAGCACAAATATTGTTACAAGGAAGCACCAGATACATATGCACCACACAAATCTCATTCGAGTTGTGTGAGGGCTGTGATACTGTCCAGGTACCCAAACTGAAGCAGGTGGTTTTCTTAGGGGGCCACACCCGGAGCCTTTGACCGAAAGATCTGATCAACAAGGCAGTGTAGCATCGTGAGGAAATGCAGTCCAATGGTAGCCAGTGACCAATAATTGGTTCATACGCCACTTATTCCCTCAGGATACTGGAGCCCATGTGCACCATTGGTTTGGAATCAGGGTTTTCCAACTCCCCTAGGTGGACTTTCCGTGCCCAGCAACCCAGTTAAAGCGCCGGACATTCCCTTTACGTCCTCTCAATTTCGTAAACAACAGTGATGCCACGAGAAGGCAGTGAGTAGGACTTCCCTGGCAGAGGCTATATATTCGCGTGGCCATGTGAGAGTATTTTGAGAGGAAGAGCGGACTCTCCTCACTCTCAGCCGTACCAAGGCGTTTGGGGGCCAACGGTACCACAATTAACTTTTCCAGTATTCACCGTTATAACTTTTTGACTATCTCTTTCAGATCGAAATTAATGTTCTATGTAAGGGGCCGATAAATGTCAAGATTTCAGCATTTGAAAGTGTAGAAAGTTGGTCGGTATCAGAAACCCTTGTAATCCTACACAATCACTTTACTAAAGGTCAAAACTGAAGAATCAGAGACTATTCACTATGTCTTGAGCTTACAGGTATTAGTGAACTGACAGTACTAAGCTTAATTGTCTGATAATTAAAGATCAAATATAACATGGAACTTAGCGTAACAAGGCACCTGTTTTGCTTAATGTTTGAAGTAGCATGAAATAAAAAAGAAGACGAAGGAAGGAAGCAATATGAAAAACACTGACAGCTTGAAGCACATGGGATCCTCAGCGCAACGTTAACTGATGGGATGAAACATTGAGTAACATAGATTAAAATCAGAATTAACAACAAACTACAAGTGTTCTAGTTCAATAAAGTTTTCGCGTAGGTGAATTAATAGAAACAATCTCATATTTGTGACGTTTCATGTCAATTCAGTAGAGGCTATGATTCACCTGCAAAAACCTACCAGTGAATACAAAGTATGTTGAATGCAAGTAACTTTTACTGACATAATAAATCAATTTAGAAGAAGCCAAATAACTCACTTGTGGGCTGAAATGACTGCCTGGCGCTGCATTTTGTGAGCATTGGTATCTCGTAATCCTGAGCCTGAAGCAGAATAGGCTATTTTGCTACCGGCAGGTCTTGGTTTGTCTGAACACGCATAATCATTAGCGAAAGTAATTTGTAAGTCTTGATTTTGTTTGCAGGCTACTACTCGAATAGTATCTGCTAGATTAGAATCTAGATTTGATCTAAAACTGCGACGTTCATTGTGCATGACAAGGTTTTGGAAAACGTTACTAGATAGCTAGATGAATTTGTCAATTGGTCGAAAGTAATGAACAGCAGAATATACAAAAACTTTCAGACGAAAGAAGCAGAAATCTGTAAAATAGACAATTTCAAAATCAAGAACACTAATACGAACTCTTAATGAACCACAAACATAAAAACAACACGACCTGAATTGATTAGTAAGTCGCTACAACCCAAACACAGAACATGAAAGTGATAGTTATTGCAATGAGAAGTAAACAGAATCACTTTAGTAAGGGCTAACCGAAATCAGACGGGGATCAGGTTTTACCTAAAGGGATTGAGTATGTGTATTGATAATTCATGTTTGACTGAACATGTTCGAGACAATGTATATCCAGTTTTCAAGGCTAAAAGTAGAAATCCCTACAAAAAATAAGCTCGTCGAGGACTAAACACTAGTTGTTCAGATAGGACTGAATGGCGGATTGAAGTAAAAACGAGCAAATTCATCTATCAGTATGTTTTTATTTATTCATTTAAACACATACATATTGGTACAAAGGAGCACCAGATACATATGCGCCACATTCGCAGTATGTACACAAAGTACGTGATGCCACCAAGTCTATTGTCCAACACATTGATATATATAAAAATACAACTAGCAAGCAAACAAAAAAAGCTTCAACGAGGGATGAACTACTATCTCAACCACAGGTGAAAATTTAGAGTCGTATGACAACGTTAACTAGTATTCCGGCCGAGTGAACGCTGCATCAGAGAAACTTCTAGTCATGGATCCGAAAATCGTTTTACTCTATTCAGAGGTCGATTGATAGAACTAAACTCACGCGCTGTCGACGGTTTGATGTCTTCCATTAACACCAACAGGCAGTTGATGAGATTGTCGACATCAACGTATTAGGAAGACTGAGTCAACGGGCTTGTTTTGTGAGTTATTGAACTGAAAGCCAGGAAATGATGCAACTGGCAGCGCAATGCAGTAGTAGTTGTTTCAATGGTAGCGTTTTGAGAATATAGAATATTAAAACGATTTGGCAAGTGTATTAAGCGTCACATATGAGATGCCCAGAGCCAAAAGTTGTTCACCCCTTGGTGGTGTTCAGAAATCTGATAGACATAGAGGTCACGCTTCTACATCTTGCTCCTTTAACACCAACAGATAGACAATAACAAACATTTTGTATTTGGTAAGATTAAACTATACTGCCGAGCCAATCAGAAGCTTTCGCGGTTTTCAAGGTCACGGCGCTAAGTTCGGTACCTGATGCTTACGTACGGTCGGTTTACAGCGGATTTTAGGGAAGACGTGATAATTTAGCGTCTACAATAGAAGTGATCATAAGATTTTGGCGCGAAATTCAATTATCCATTTGGATAAATAGAGTTTTGGCATTATAGCTGATGTCAGTTCGTGATGAATACCCTAAGTATAATTCCTAGCCTTAATCATGAACTGTAAATCATAATCTTCACACAGGTTTATAACCCTCATTTGGTCAAAGTTATTACGTTGACACTCCCAGAGTCACTCTAGCGTTGCTCAAAGGTTGTCCGTAACTTATAGTCTCACCCATAACCTTAAACTCTACACCTAAACCTTAACTCTAACCCTAACCCGTAAACCATACCAATATACTAACATTATTGAAGCTATGTGGTCGACGCTAAAAGAATTTTTGGGACCTTATCATGGTTTCAGAGGTCGACTACTACGGAGCCATATGGATATGTTCCTGTACCGTATGCACTATGATTTAAGAACTTCTGAACCTATATCTGACCTTCGGAAGTGTTTGACCCATGTAAAAGAAGTGTTTCCACTTTAATTCTTTGGTTTTGTATAATATATTTTTACTGTATACTGTCTTCTGAGTGGCTAATATTTCTCAAGGTCATTCAAGATTCGTTCAAAGGTCAGCAGTATAGTTTAATCCTACCTTAAAAACTATTCATAAGATACAATAGCACACACAATCCCAGAATGTTTTTTCATTCATAATTCCAGAACTCCCCAACAATACGAGGACAGTCAGGGCTATTAACTGGCACCCTATTCAGTAGCTTAACTTCTATATGTATACCACAGATTATTGCAGGTCAACCCGTCCCCATAAACCAGTCACCTACGCTATATTTAAAATTTCCATCGTACCACAGTGAACGATTTTCACAACAGCCATGTTGTTTATTAGACTAGATGAAATTCTAGATACTTAGAAACTATCCGGATAGTCTTACCCAACAATGCCGAAACCACGCCAAGAACTTCCGGTTCGAAGCGAAAAACATTTGTTCAAGGTCACCCTTTGGCCCCAAAAAACAAATACAACCTGCCGCAAAAGTAAAGAGTAGGAATTAATTTTCTGGACACAAGTAGAAGTTCTCAAGTGATATTAAGTTAGGCTTTTCATTTAAATTGTACAAAGACCTTGAAGAGCAAGTCTTCACACTTCAGGTATCAACGGGCCCATATCAATCCTTGAAATTTGTAGTACAATACAGATTCCATCTCGCTTTGAATGCATCAGTAGACGTTATTGGTATTACGCCTTCTGGAAATGGCATTTTTCCTAGTTGAGTTAATGTTATAGTTTTGATCGTAAATTATGTGTTATCATTTCAGTTTAATTAATGTCAGTTAAAGTATTCGCCAAGTGTATCTTTTTTTAAAGTAGTTCGTCATCAGTACTTTTGAGCGGATTGACTCTTAGTATTCGTTCGTACTTCGGTTCTAACAATTTGTAGATTTCCACTTTTTCTGGTCATCAATTTCTCATGTCTCTGGATATATCTTTGGTCTAGTTTCTTTAGAAAACCTCTGATAGATGACTGGAAATTTCAAAGGAGCAGTTGCCAGTTCCCAGGCTGCCGATGTTCTGTGGAAAGTGTCATGCAGCGCGATGAGTGAACAGGATGGTATTACGAATTTCGCACGAATCTAACTCCCGATGCTTTTAAAGGGTGGTTTTTAAACGCACTGTTGTCACGTCAACTTAATGTGCCCCAAGCCGGAATAATGGTCATATTTACGTTCATGTTATCATTTAATTTGTCACATTATGGTGTATTATGCTGTTAATTTTGCTCTGGCTGTATTTTTCATACGCCACGTCCGACTGAGTTACACTGGACATGTATTGAATGCTAGAATGATATCCTAAGTCTTGGTAAGTTTAACCACATCGTTTTTTTTCTTTCAAGTAAATCGTCAATGAATATTGTTTGTTGCACTGTAAACTGTATTTTTAAGAGTAAGCGACTGTTGTCTTCAGTCACAGAACAATATCGTTTGTCTTATGTTAGGTAAGTCTTACCGGCCGCTAAGGCTCAATGGCAGTGGCACATACTATGCTTCGCACAAGTCGTAGCAATTGACCTGATCTTAAACTAATATTCATGAACCCGGGGTAAATCACAGCTGCGTAATTTTTTTCGCTTAAAAACATGTAATTCGTTTATTTACCCATTCCACATTTTTGACCAAAGCCATTACTTTTATTCATTTAGAATTCAACAGAAGTGAGCCCTCACAGATCTTACAAAATGTTTCGTCGTCGGAACGATGGCCCTCTGAAACTATTTACGGAAGACTCAACTTACAGTAGCTTCTCCAAAGCTTATTAAAAGCGTGCTAGACGTACACTTTAGTTTCACAACCATTTCCATTATTTTTTGAGTTACTTTTTTTACCCCTTGGTTTAAAAAAATAAAAAGGACTGCAGCCTAGCATTACCAATGCGTGTTTTAAATGGAAACTTGGTGTAAATATTTGTTTGAGATTCCACTGTTAATGAAATTTATTCAATAAATTCGTAAATCTGATGCTATCTTATTTTATCAGGTCAACAATCGTAGGGAATTTTTGAAAGTCGAGCCTCTCAGCATCTAGTTTATACGTAATCAATTTAAGTGATACAGTACACATCTTCGTTATTTTCTTGGAAAACCTAGAGGTTCAGGCCTTCTTACAACCTATTCTAGCCACCATAACGTGTCACGGCAGTTGATGGACGGACGCGCGTTACGCACATCCTAACCATGCACGTGTCTAATCTCATAGTTGCTTACTCGGATACCATATGATATGCAAGTGACGCATTTACTCGCTCTAATGGAACACTAGTAATACGAGGATACCCATGTAGTACCGTGCATTGGTCTGCGAGATCCCTTTGCTTTCAAGTGAAAATACTAATAAAGTCCTTGCAAACACGTCATGACCTCCCTTATATCAATCAAAGCAAATAAGTTTGTATTTACTGAACACAACAGCCTAATTTTTTAAAAGTATGACAAAACAGTCGAGAATGGGAGTAAAGTGGAAATAAACAGCAGATGCACATGGCGCGACTGGTCTTTATCGATCACCTAAAATACAGAATATATATTAGCTTAACAGATGTATTTAGTAAGGCTAATGTCTATTTTGAAAGAAAGTGATACTGGAACTATGAAAGTTATCGAAATCGGGTACCTTAGGGCGAAAATTTACAGGTGCTTTTAGTCGCAAGGGCGGTTGTGGATCATTTTAGATGACGATATTATTTACCAGTTGACATCATACAGCAAATAAGCATGAGTTTGCAACCGGTGAGCTTTGGTCTATTAAAAAAGCGAGCGTGATAACAGTAAATTACCCTTTTGCTCCCTGACCATGGCCCACCGGTTTCCATTACTCGGGGTAACACCACTTCACTTACTGTGTAGTTATGTGAATTGTCGCATTTATATGGACCACACACTCTTATTAGAATCAACTTCTGGCGTCATCTATGCATCCACTCAGATAGTGAATTTAGGCCGCCCTGTAATATTACCCTACATGACATACAGTGAATGGGTCTCGAAATCTTAATTTCATTGGCAGAGAGTAAAACAGATAACTTTCCTACAGTTGTTTAATCGTCTTAAAGTAAAAAGCGATGAAGGCTGAGGACTGCGTCATGAAGAACTCTACTTTTAATAAATTCTCATATTTTTAAGACCTATGGGGATAGTTAACACGACTTTATTTTGTGATTAGTTCTCGATATTATTCTCACTTTTTCATAATTTCACTGATTTTGTACAATCACTACTACTTACTGTAAAACTGCTGTCTAAAAATCTTGCTTCGATCTGCTGTTCCCGTCTTGTTCTCCATTGTTGTGACACATCAAAGATCGCACACAAATACAATGATGCACATACATACTTCTCGTTCTCACTCATCAGCTATCGTAATAGTAAAACTCTAAAATATTTGTTATCCACGTTTACGGGGCATATTTACATTCTCACAACGTGGTTACTCTGGATACACATCTAAGATTATACTAATCATATTTAGAATCACTAACTGCTTATAATTGTAGTCTACAAGACCAAATGACTCGAACACGCACCCCATTGACTAATTAAGTAATGTCTCAGATTTGAAATTGTGTATAAATTACATCTCGATATATCAATAATTATCTCTACTCCTTTTGTAATAAATCTTAGAATTTTGAGATCGTAGAATTTGGCACGCTGACAGTCTCTTTTACAGGTACTCCTTGCTTTTAATTTCACAATGGATTCCAGAACCTTCCAGTTCTGATTGAAGACCTAGGTGAAATTCTTTATCGAAAGCTTTACTCGGGTCCAAGCAGATTACGTTTACCGTAATATTACTATCTTTCATTAGGGCATAATCTCTTGCAATGAGAACATTTATTATTCATAAAATTATCATTTACGAATGAACTAATGGTACACAAGCGTTATGAGGAAATAATTCCGGGTTTATTGAAAAATTCAACTATACGAGGGTGTTTAGTAATGTTTGCATGATATTTGCTATGTTTAAATAGGATCTGTGAGATTTGGAAGAATATTGAGATAACTTTAGAGAAGAAAGCAGGGAAAAGTAGAATATGGAGATAACTTGGTACATTTATGAAACAGAATAAGAATAAACAGTAATATATGCATAACAGAATGAGTTAAAATTTTATGATCGAATAGGGGTTGATGCAGTAATTGTTTGGAATGATGAGATAAAAGTCTTAAGTGCGAGGAATAACCATCAAATATCAGTTTGTATGGAACACATGCACTTAGTTAAGATAAAATGAATCGGAAAAGTAAATTTATTTCACTGTGGTACAAGATATTGTGTTTCTATGTATAGACTGAATGAGTGGGGATGAAATTTATATAGAAGGAAAAGAGAAAAAAATGGAATATTTAATGTGTCAGTGAATCAGTCATAACAACAATGACCAATATGAACATAAGCGGATAATACACGAAAGAGTTCAACAAACAAACAAAATGTGAGATGTTCTATTCTGCTTTGAAGTCAATTTAATCGATTACAGACCTTGTTTTTATAAATCATTGGTAATTACTCTGATATTTTTTAGACGACAGAGACCGATTTCGAAGAGAACGCCATGAATGAGACTTTTGAGCGGTATGATGCACTTTTAATATAATAATAACCTTGGTTCGGTGCTATTGAAACTTATCATTGTGAATCTAATGGGCTTTCTTGCTTTGAATACTTGAGATGCAACTAGCTCGAGAAGATCCAAATTGTTGCTATATCCTAAACTCTAGTCACGAACAGTACTAAGAAGTTTCAACACGTGTTTTTGTAAAAACAGCTATAGGTTAAGGCTGGGAGCAATGTAAATAAATTGAATTTTATCATCATTTAGTAAGAAATTCCACGAGATAGTCCATTCGTCTAACCTGTTCATGCTTTCTTGATTACCGCTAAATTATAGCCTTCTCTCGTAGAGGATGAGAATGAGTAAGTCACTTTTCGGTTATCAGTGAAAAGGAAAAGTTTACCGTATTGAAAGGGTTAGCACATTTCACTAATGAAAAAGAGAAAGAGTAATGAACCGATCACACTCCCTGGTACAACCGCACTAGTTATATTCAAATGCATAAAGTGGAAAGATTAAAAGCGAACGATTTGGCCAAGTCCTGTTTAAAATTATTTGAGCCAAGATACAAAGGGATTCCTCATGAGAAATGATGAAGGTGTAGTGGATGTCGAGTCGTGGACGGACTATGATCACCACTACTATTCGATTACGCGTACAAATATGACTTGGTTCCCTTGGTAGCCCGTAAACCAGAAGGATTTACTAGTCCAGATAAAGTATATTTATTAGCGATCTCGTGGTATCGAAATAATATCGAGACGTGCCAAAGAGTACAAGCGAATAAGCAGTGCGTGAGCAAGCTCGAACCAAACCAGGCGGTATATGGAACAAGAAGTGAG